GTGTGTGTGTGTGTGTGTGTGTGTGTGTGTGTGTGTGTGTGTGTGTGTGTGTGATGATAGAATTTAGAACTCTGCTAAATCCTTGGACGTGTATAGGAGGGCTTGGTTGGTGAAATGCCGAGAAAGCTTGAGGACCTGGGTGCGGCTCTCCAGCACCCATGTAAAAAGTTGGACATGGCAGTTTCTGCAGGAATCCCAAGGCTGGTGATGGGGAGACAAGAGGTCTAAAGAGAGTGCCTGGGTCTTGCCAGCCAACCTAGCCAAAATGGTGGCCTGCCAGTAGTCCCAGTGCCCAGGAGGCGGTGGCAGAGGATCCCCAGGGAGGCTGTTTAGGTAAACAGTTGTCTAGTTCTGGGGTCAGTGAGAAACTGCCTCTGATAATAACGTGACGGGGCTGGAGAGAAGGCTCAGCAGTCAGGAACACGTGCTGCTCCTGCAGAGGCCCCACGTCCAGTTCCCAGCACCCATGTTGGTTGGCTGGCAATCACTTGTAACTCCAGCTCCAGGGGATCCAACACCTTCTGGCCTCCTCAGGAAACTGCACTCATGTGATCATGCACCCATGTAGAAATGCATGCATATACATAAATAAAAATAAAATAAAATAAATTTTAAAAAAATGTGGAGAGTGATCAAGGAAAACACCCAACATCAACCTCAGGCCTCCATGTGCACATACACAGTGTGCACACACACACATATGAGCACACAGAAACACATGCATTCACACTGCATGCACATGCAAAGAAAAGAAACCAACATAAGGTGGAGATCTACTGAAGAGGGCATTTGGTGTAGAACTCTGGCTTCCACATGCACCACACTTGAAAACACACACACACACACACACACACACACACACACACACACACACACACATCTAAATGCTGAAGACAGTGAAAAGATTCAGCATCATCCTGCTCTTTACAGCCTATAATGCCATTACTTGCCTAACAACTTGAGTGTGCCAATGAATGCTTCTGGTAGGTAGCACAGCGATAGTTTCGTTTGTACAGAGAAAAATCAGAAGGGAACCCACTATCATTTGAGCAGTTCAGAACATGAAATGTCACCATTCCACTGCTGGGCTTCTAGGTCTCCAGTGGGTGCAGAAAGGTCAGTGGCCAGAGTGTGTGGTGGTAAAGGCTTTGAGGGAGGAGGTGCTGGGTGGGGGACGGGGGTGGGCATGGGACAGCAGGAAAGGACAACGCTTTACCTGGGTGCTGAGGTGAGAGTAGTGTGTCCAGATGAAGAGGTGCAGATGTTGAAGGTATTCCAGGTGGGGAACCAAAGCTTGGGTGGGATGACCTAAGTACAGAGAGGTGAGGGGGATGGACGGACAGATGAACGGACGGACGGACGGATGGATGGATGGATGGACGGATGGACAGATGGAGGACTGCTGCTGAAGGTCATTTGGTAGCATCAACAAAGCAAGGGAACAATGGCGACTGGGTCCTATGATATGAAGGCTCCCGTGAGGCTGAGAAGATGCAGCATGAAGAAGCAGGCAGAGGCAGGTGGGAGACAAGAACACAGGAGCAGCAGAGGACAAGGAGGCAGAGAGTCCGGACAGAGCCCCAGCAGCACAGGAAGCAGGAAGCGTGTTCTTGCGCCCCTCTGCCCGGGGCAGCCGGGTGAGAGCTTCCTGACTCCATGTCCCCACTGCTGTGTCCTTCTCCTGCCCAGATGATGTGCTGCTGTGACTTGAATGTGTCACCAAGGTTCTCATGTTGGAAATCAATTCCCAGTGTAATCGTGTTGAGAAGGGGACTCTAAAGAGGACATGAGGTTATTAGGGCAGCACCCATAAATGGATTAATGCTATTATCATGATATATATTAATATATATGTTATATAATAATATCAATATAATTATTATATTATACATTATATAATTATGTTTAAATTACATATAAGTTAAAGTATATAATACAATAATATGTTAATATAATATAATTAACATATTGATAATTTATATACATATGTATATATTTTAAGGGTTAGTTATACTAGAAATGGGTCTCAAATAAAGGGATATTTGCTTGCTCTCTCTCTCTTTCTCTCTCTCTCTCTCACAGACACACACACACACACACACACACACACACACACACACACACACACACACAGAGTCTCTTGTCCTTCTACCTTCTGTGATGACACGATGATGTAGCTTGAAGGCCCTGGTTAGAAGCAGCTCCCCAGTACAGGATTTTCTGTCTTCCGAAACTGTACTAAATAACTCTGAGCTGGAGAGATCGCTCCATTGGTAAAGTGCTCGCCATGCAAGTGTGAAGACCTGGGTTTGATTGCTAGACCCCATATAAAAAGCCAAACGTGGCTACGAGCTCTGCGATTTCAGCCCTGGAGAAGTGGACACAGGTGGATGCCAGGGTCTCACTGGCCCACCACCAAACTGAGTCAGCAATCACCAGGCCAAAGGAGAGACCTGGTCTCACAAAAACAAGGCAGATGGCACTTGATAAATGACACCCAAAGTTAGCTTCTAGCCTCCATATGCATGCGCATCTTCATATACACATGCACACACATGCACACGCACACAGGGAAACAAAGGAATCCCTACCATGATTGACGGCACACTTCAGGGTATTATAAGCTGGTCATAGAA